ATCCAATGATGTTGGATGTTATGGCATCAGCAGTTACTCCAATTCAAAGTGTTATGAATAATTGTATGCATTTGTATTACTCTCCAAAGTTACCTGATTTAGGGAGGCAAGACTGGTTTAGTAAATAACTATCTTAGTTAAGAGGAGGGGGATGGAAGCTGAGCAGGATTTGACCTGTTACGTGTTTTTTGAAATTTCCACTGATGTATTTCTTTAGCCTTTAAATTTAATTTATCTGCTGAGCAAATAGCCTTTGGATACTTTATTTAGTTGGTATTTACACTAGAGAATAATTAGTTCTTGCCCTCCTGCTCTTTGTGCAGTGTCAGGAACAAAACTAATATCCATTCTTTTAAATTCCAGAGGCTTTGGATTTTTCTCTGGAATAAAAGAGGCTGAAGACCCAGAGACGTGAATTCACATTACGTTACATTTAGAAGCCTCTTTTCACAGACAGAACTCAAACTTAAGAAGAGTGAAACATTGGATACATCTTGATGCATTGCCTTATCTGTTCCATACAAGCTAAGCTATGCCTTAGGTCAACATTTCCCTGAAAGTTGGAGACTTAAGTTGGTACAGCATGCTTTCTGAAGGTTCTTCTTGTTCTCTGGTGTACCTTCCCCCTAGAATGTTGTATTTCACACAAAGGCACACAGGCTTGCTTTTCTTTTTCCTTTTTCCCATACCACTTTACTAAAACAAAAAATGATAAAGATGGAGACAGAGACAGAAAATGGAAAAGAATCCAAAGAGAGAGGTAGTGCAAAGAAAGGAAGAGGAGATGGGAATCAGATGAATGAAAGAGTGTCTGGAGAATTCCTAAAAGAGTCATGGGGCTTATCCCTTTGAAAGAGTCCACTTCAAATGTTCCCTTCCAACAAAGGGGAGTAAATCAGCTATTTAGACTGGTCTTACTGTCATAATGCCTTTAGCCATAGAAAGCTTGGTTCCATCATAACTTGCTCTGTTGCAATATATGTTTACAATTCAACTCAAGGTGTTGGCTATCACCTTTAAAGCCCTTCATGGAAAGGGCCAGATTATCTGAGGCACAATCTCACTCACACCCGACTCACACTGGCAGAAGAATCCTTCTCCAAACCCCATTGGCCAAGGAATTTTGGCTAGTGGGGTCAAGGAAAAGAGACTTCTCTGCCATGGCCCACACTCTCTGAAACATCTTGCCTCCTGAGGTGAGATTCATCTCCAGCTTTCTGACCTTCCAGAAGAGCCTTTAAACCTAGCTCTCCCAGTTAGTTTGGGGACCCCAATGAGGGTGCGCTATTTCTGAGGTAATTAATTGAGTGAGAGACTAAAATCTACCCCTGTGCCATCCATATTCTTGGTTTTAACATTTTATTTAGTTGTTAAACTTATTGTTTTTATATCTTTGGTTTTATACTGTCACCCAGAGTTACTGAAGATAATGAGACCTGTGGCATATAAATGTAATCAGCCAATACATCATACATTCTTTATTCTATGTCCCATACTGTGGCATATAGAAAGCAGTCTTTAATATTCTTTTCTGTGACTTCCCTATAGATATTTGAAGAGTCCTATCATATTGTCATCCCTGCTTCCTTTTTCTTCTGAAAGCTAAGTGAACTATTTCCTCATTTTTTTTCTTTGGAAGATTGAGTTACCAGTTTCTGGATCACCTTGATGGAAAAAGGGAGCTAACTCTGATGCGAGACATGCTCCAAATTAAGGCCATTTAAGAATAATAGGTCGAGCCCCTCTCTGCTTGTAAAGCGGTGCTTTTCTCATCTGTGTGTTTGTGTGTAATTTTCTTTCCAGAGGAAAGAAAGAAGAGGGGGAAAAACCCACAAAGTAAAGCAACTGATGAATGGGAAGACTCACCCTTTCAGAAAAAGAAGCGTAAAGGTGTAATTTATCCATCAGAAAGTAATTGAGGTAGAACTGGAGGAGGAGCGTGAAGATACTTTGAATGTAGTCTTGGTCTAATATAAACAGGAATGGAGCATAGTAGTATTAGCAAAGAACGTCCGTATGAGGATTCTACATCTGGATGAAAGCAGTTCTGCATTTCCATGTTCCACTGTCAGCTGTGCTGGACAACAAAAACGATCTGTTCCCAGTTCTATACTGCCAAACTAGAGATTGTTGTTACTGCTGTTTTAGACATTAGAATCTTAGTCAATGTCTAAGACAAAACAACAAAACAACAAACAAAAGCTCCTTACTTCCATGTCATACAAAAAAGAAATAAAATACATTTGCTGACATCTGCAGGAGGGGTCATAAAAAAAAGGCAAGATGGCACATCTACATCTGCTTTGTCACCTTCTCCAGTGAAGGTTCCTCTTTACTAGCATGATATGTCTGGTCATTTGCAAGACACAAAGAGAGACACGTATGCATCAGTCACGACAGGAAGCTTCCTGGTGGTAAAGTTATCCGTCCTCTTGCATTTAAATATCCTTTGCAAGCCATGAAAGTAAAATGACAATTGTGAAACCAAGAATTTCTCTTTGTACCTGGAACTATAAACTCATATTGCTGCAGTTGGATTAATTCACGGGGAGGTAGTTCTAGTATTTCGTTATATTGTGCACATGCTAAGTACACATGACTGTATATTAAACTCAAAGTTTTCTCATTTCAGGACTGAAAGGGCTTTGAGTTAGATGTTAGAGTGCAAAAATGAAAATGTTTATCTCCTACAGGAGACTGCTCTGCTGAGATGGGAATTTTTTCCCACAAAATAATACAAAACAATTAGGCAGGAAAATATTAAAATGTTCTGATAAGGCTTGGCTGAAGGAACTGGGACAATTTGCCACAGCCAACTTGCTGTGGGACAACTCATCATGGTCAACTTGCCATGGGAAACTCCCTGCAGAACAATTTAATAATTATATGTAATTATTTAAAATAAATAAAAATATTTTAATTTTTGCTGTTCACATTTCATTCTGTTCCTCCGTTGGTATCCTTTTTTTTAATGCTTCTATTTCACAATTTCTTTGATATTAGTGTAACTCTTGTTCTACAGCGAGTTGTCCTGAGGCGAGAGGGTCACGGCAAGTTGTCCTGCAGCAAGTTGGCCATGGAAAGTTGGCTGTGGTGAGTTAGCTATGATAAGTTGGCCATGATAGGTGGCCCGTGGCAAGTTGGCCCTGGTGAATTATCATAGACCCTGGCTGAAATAGCTTCTTACAGTTTCCGTTAAGAGTTTTGGGACTTTTGCTTATCAGATCTTTCCCAAGGATGTAGGATAGCTAAACATACTATTCCAGTGTTTCTCAATCTTGGCAACTTGAAGACGTCTGGACTTCAACTCCCAGAATTCAAGCGTGCTGGCTGAGGAATTCTGGGAGTTGAAGTCCAGACGTCTCCAAGTTGCCAAGGTTGAGAAACACTGTACTATTCTGAAATATACACTGTTTCAAGTAATTCAGACTTTTTGTAACTGGTGAATCGAGATTGTATCCTTCCTATTCTGTTCAAGTGTTTTTATGAATCTTTTGGGCTGGAACCAAGTTTATCTCCCATTGATTGAGACTCTTACTATTCCCCCCCCCCCTTACATTTACTCAAATTTTATTTTGGTGTTTCTACCATTCTTTCTCATTAACCTGTGTCTACTGCAATGAAACTTCTCCGTAGTGTTTTCTTTTCTAACTACAGCTACATTTGACTTATTAAGGGCTAAACATTTATCAGTTTGTATTTGAAATCCCATAGAATTTCAACCCATTTGTTCTCATACCTATTTTTCTCTATTATGATTCTACCAATTCTTTGTTGATGTAAAAAGTATTTTTTTTTACTAAGATTCCAATCAAAGTAGTCACTTTGTGTCATTATTATTATATACACAAAAATGTGAAATCACAGCTGCCAATTCTTTAGCTCATATTAGATTTCATATCTGTTGTTCTTTCCAAGAATGTAGGATATCATAATGTATCAACATGGTATATGTGCAGATCTGAGCAGTGTGGCTTTTATAACTGACAGTTTGAAATTTTTGTCATTGCACAGACTTTCTATGCACTGTCCAAGATTTCTTGGATGGAAGTATGTGTGCTGATAATCATGGCCAGTTTATGCCATCAGATTTTGATTTTCAGACCTTGATATTTTCTGATCTTCTCCAATTCTTTGTTTTCTATTTTACTATTTCCTGGCATTGCCATATCAATTATCCACATTGTCTTCATTTCAACTGTAGTTAAATCTGGTGTATTAACTCAAGACTTCATTAGTTTGTATTCTATTATTATTATTGCTATGGTTTATCATACAGCATACATGTAATGTCCACTAAGTAGAATTTTTTGGATTCTTTCATATTGACAATTGTTAAGTCTGGGGTATTATGTGGCAGGTGCTTGTTATGTTTGTGTTTGTGTTTATGTTTGTGTTTATGTTTATGTTTATGTTTATGTTTACTTTTTCATTTACGTTTATTGTCATTGTCATTATCATTGATATCGATATTGATATTGATACNTATGCATTCCTTTTCATTAACAATTATTATCATCCAAAGCAGGGGTCACCAATCTTTTGGACCTCAGGGACCACATAATTTTAAATCCCAAGGACCACTAATATGATTTTTTTTTAAAGATAAATAGTATTTAGTGCAATATAAAAAATGTAAATAATTTTTCTGCAGATCACCAAAATTTTCTTGCAGACCACCAGCTACTACTATAGCCTCCACACTATTAGGTTTACAACTCCACACATTTCCTGTGTTTTGCCTCTACCAAAAACGTAACTGAGCAATGTAGATATGAATGTGATATTTTGGATCCGAAGACTGCCATTCTCCAGTTTTTCATTCATTGCAAACAAATAGATTATAGTTGTATATTAGTAAGTTAACTCTGGAAATTGAACAGTAGTATGAAATCTAATAAAAAGACTTGGAACATTGTTGTACTAATCACAGCGCCCTCCTGCCTCAAAATAGCTCATTACAACAAGCACTTTTAAAAAATATAAAGCAAAATACTTACAATCCAATTCTTTCCCAGCACCGTCGTTTACTAGGTCCATAAGTAAGTGCTGCCTCCCAAAGATCAAGATCTGGTGTCACACTGGGTTCTGATTGAGAGTCTGGAGTGAGATTGGATGCTGACTGGAATCCTTCATCTTCAGAAGGATCAATACTTTGGGGAACCTGCAAATATAAACATACTTATTTACTGTTCCTCTACAATTACTTTTAAAAACTGTGCTTTGGGATTGTTTTGAAAGTAGAGCTTATAACAAATTGTTTAAATTAAAATTAATATCTAGTTTTAGTTTGTATCCAACTTTCTATAAAAATATTTCATATGAGACAATATTGTTATACTATAACATTCAAACAGGAATAAATAATATCAATAAATGAAAGCAATAAAACATTTTAGAAGCCTAAGTTGTTGTGAAATATTGGTTGATGTGTCAGAAGCATATTACTAGTCAAGAAACATTTTGTAATGTTGAGACAGGGCTAAGGCATGCTGATCTTCTTGAGTATATTTATATGAATCACATTATACTTTAAGATGGAAACATACAGCATTAGGTCAGAGGGATGCGTGAAAGTGAAAATCTACATTTTTGTCTTTGTTTATCCTTCCAATGAGCTAATAATTGTAGAATTGCAGAGGCAGAGTGAATTGAGACAGTAGCCAATATCATCTGTTTTCTATGGAGGAAGTATAAATATCCATGAGTTCATTAAGACGAATATTGGCATAGACAAAGGAAAACAATCTTATACCTTGATTGCAAGTCCAGACAGATCTGCATTGTCAGGCACTGGTGGCAAATCCAACTTGATGTCCATATCATATGTACGACTGTGAATGAGAGCACCAAAGAGCGAGACCCGAGTTTCTCTTTCATATCTGTCCCCCATTGAACAATTCTGTGAAAACAGTTCCACCATAGGAAGACCTGTACCAGGTGCTGCCTCCATAATTTGCAAGGTCTTTTGAATTGTATCATTACATTGAAGTTCTTCATTTGCAATAAAAGCCTGCACGTCTGCTTCAAATATGCTAACATCATAATAATCATAACCTTGATATTTGGTATTTCTTCCTACATTTTTGTTATTAACAAAATAATCCTTTTTGAGGGGTGAACAATGAGGAGGCCCAGTTCCTGCAAGCTGTACCAGAAAATCCAAAATAGAAGTAATTTCAGTAAATGGTAAGCAAGTAGACTTTTCTAATTCCTCTACAAGTTGCTCCAGCCTGTCTGCTTCTAAGCTCAGTCCAGCAATTCTCAAATTGAAAGACAGCATTAATATTTTGTTTTTCACAGGAAGTCTAGAAAAATTTGATTGAGAAACTTTGCAGGTTTCATCCAGAAAAAGATTAGCAAACAAAGTATTATATGCAACCTTTTTGAGACTTTTTCTTGAAATTTTTTTGCTGTTCTTTCTTTTGTTTAAATGGACCTTTGTTGACACAGATACTAAGTGAGCCTCACACAAGTCACCAAATAGTTTTGTAATACTCTCCATGGTCCCATCAGTTGTGGATATCCACAATCAACTCAGAATGAATCCAGCACTAATAGTCAAACAAGCATTGGTTTGTGTTCCTAAAAAAATGAAAGAAAGAAAAATTATTAACATAATTAATGCTGTCTCTATTGATTTTCTCTGCATTATAAAATTAACAGCCAAGACTTTGGCAATATCCCACTACTAGATAGCAAGTAGCAAGAATGTTGCAAACATAACACTGTCATAGCAGCTCAGGAAACTACTAAGGTTTTTGTCAGAGCAATAATCTATTTTAAATCTTTTAGTCTAATTAATACACACATTTTTAATCAAAACTTGCTACTCTTTTTGCAGAAGATCCTAGCCACATTTTGTATGTGTGTGGGAATTACATGTGCACACTTTGGTGTTAGCTTTTGACTCCTGGGGAAGCCTGGACTAGTCTCTGCTTATTTTAATTAAGCTATGATGTTATTTTCTGAAATTTCTTTCAAGCTGCCACTTATTTACTTTATATTTCTTGGCAAAACATTAACTATAAAAACAATGCAAGAGAAAAAGGGGTGAATATGATATTAAAGAATCCAACGTAAACTAAATGCATAACCTACCAAGAAAACACACACACATACACACGCACACTTTATATAGAATCAACTGTCGGGCTTACAGCTCCACACCACCTAGGGCAGATGGGGTGCCAACTATAGCAAAAAATGAAATATACATAACTGCGATGAAGAACCAAGATGGAAAATACTCAACAGTACCCAGGCTACACATTCAATTGGAAAAGCAAAGAAATAATTGACCATGCAAACAGAAGAGCCATAGTATTCCTGGAAGCATGGCCCCAATAAAGGAGCCATCAATAGATTATTATGAATCATAAGGCTAAAATGCATGACAGATAGATCTTTCTGAAGGCATGAACTAATGGCATCTATGAAAGAAGAAACCCATGGTGATAGTTGCCCACTGAACACTGCAATGAAGGTAGTCAAAGGAATGTCAGAATAAAAGCTGCAGTAGCATTTTTGATGACAATTAAAGATGTTTTCTAAATGGATGGAAAACACGGAGCCTCCAGCAGTCTCAACGTAATTAAAAGTAAAAATGACAAAATGATTTAGAATGAAACTGCAACGGAGGGAATTATGAGGAGCATTTCAGAGATTTGTATGGGATGATGATACAACCAAGAATGAGAAACAAATGCTAAAAAAAAGCCTCCAAATAATGAAAAGAGAAACTATAAAAACAACAGCTCCCTGGTGATTGGCAAGGCCCAACAGAGACTTCATTTCCTTAGAGTCCTATGAAAAAATCAGGTGGAACAACGGCTGATAACCTCTTTCTATTGGTCCACCATAGAAAGTGTCCTCACATACTGCATTACAGTATGGTACACTGGTTTATGTGGACAGGAAGGTACTACAGAGAATGATCAATTCAGCACAAGAAACCATTGGTTGCCCTCTAACACCACTGGGTGACATTGCCAGATCTCGCTGCTTTAGCAGAGTAAGGAAGATACTCAAGAGATGATTCACACCCAGGTCAGTGTCTCTCCGCACTTCTACCATCAGGCAGAAGACATTGAAGCATAGCCAGCCGAACAAATAGGTTTAAAAATAGTTTCTATCCTTAGGCTGTAGGACTCTTAAACACAACCACAATCACTCCATGCACACGTGTAAAACGTATGACTAGTTTTTCTTTTTCTTTCTTTTTTTCCCAATTACTTGCATAGGGATTATTCTTTATAGTATTTATGTCGTTTGTATTTTTTGTCATGGATTGAGGCTAAAACCAATTTCCTTGTATACATGATGTACAATGACAATAAAGGCTATACAATATACTATAAATGCGGTTAAGAATGGTCAGAAATGGAAAGGATGCGCCTGACGTTCGGAAGGCCATTATTTTATAATTATTTATAATTGTTTTCAACAGATACAACGGCTACCTCGCAGATTATCTTCCCCTGCAGATAAAAGGACTACTATACCCTGGCGATGGGCAGGATTCCCTAGGCAAGAAGCCATGTACAGCAATGCCTCCTTCTCCGCCATCGGCACGCCCCAATGCTGGCTGTGGAGGATGGATACTGTAGTTCGGTAGCCTAGAAGCCGCCAATTTGGAAAAGTGGGCACAAGCACAAAACGCGGAGGATGCTGCGGCGTCGGAGGGAAAGGAAACCCGGCGTTGGCCGAGCACAGGCCCGGTTCCAGTCTCCAGGAACGGGTTGTCGTCTGGGTCTCCCGCCACTTCTGGGAGATTAACCAACGGCGCCGGCCGGCCGAGCTGACTGAAAACTTAGGTAGGCAAGACAGCCGGAGCTCCTAACTGGGCAACCGATACTGGGGAGTCCGCCCTTGACGAGCCTGGAGCAGCCGAGGCGAGAAGGTTCCATTTCCCCTCCTCTGCCAAGTAAACAATAATATTAATAATAATAATAAAATATCGCCCTCCCTGAGGGAAGCGCAACCTTCCGCCTCCAATACTTAAAATTCAAAGAAAAGCCGACCTACCGCGGGGCATGAAGGAAACAGCAAGATTGGGGCGGAGCTACCGCAGGAGGGAGGGGTCAGGCATGCGCAGAAGGTGCAGGAGGGCCACCTGGTAAGAAGGGAGGCACGTAATAGGCGGGCGGCTGGGATCAATGATCTCACCCTGGCAGCCAGGGGACATCGAGCTCCGGCGCTCAGAAGGAGGAGCGTGAAGGGACGAAGGGAGGTGATTGGCTGGCTGGCTGGGAGGCGGCGCTTAAGTGGAACTTACGGATGTGTTATGAAAGGCGCGCGCCGCTGAAGAAGCAAGTCGCGCGGTATTTATGGCACGCTACCCTGTACGACAGGGCTCTCCAACCTTGACCACTTTAAGACATGTGGACTTCAACTCCCAGAATTCCTCAGCCAGGAGTGGCCACGGTTGGAGACCCCTGCTGCACGAGACTAAAGCTCGGATTTCTTTCCCTGAGTTAAATGGCTTGTGTAGGTTTCCGACAATAGCCCCCACCCCCAACAACCTCCCACCGCACGTTGGCTATAGCAATTGGGTGGGTCTATGATATCGAAGGGGTGGAAATGCAGGCAAGAGTCTTAAGGTTTTCAAGCTTAACCGACGAAGACACCAGTGAAGCGCCCGCCGACAAGAAAGGTGGTTTCAAGATATGGGACCTGGCTTTATATATATAACACTTAAATTCGCCTGTATCTTTGGTTAATTGAACTTTCAAGTATTCATGCAAATCTAAAACTGGGTAAATGTGTATTATCTTGGTTCGGGTTGGGATTGCGTGAATACAACCTGTAGTTTTGTGCAGCATAGTATATAATCCTGAATTAATTCAGCATAATTTCATGTACAAATTATGTTCCAACTTCATTACTGGCTGATGGCCCCTGAGAACCAAATTCACTTTTATTCAGTTCCCAGCACATCTGATAAGTCTTTACAAAAATTGAGCAGGAGTCCATGTACTGTAATTGCACGAACACATTACATGTAGTGATCTTGGAAACAATATAGAAGCTTTCTCTGAGGATGTTTTTTGACTTCCTAATTCAACCTGCAATAACAGCAGTCTGTGACATCATGCTGGCCACATGACCATGGGAATGTCTTCGGACAGTGCTGCCTCAATGGACTTGAAACAGAGATGAGCACTGTCCCTTAAAGCAACTATTACCGGAGTAAAATCCTCAGGGACTCCTTTCCTCCATTAGTCCAACCTGCAATTTCTCCAAGTACAACCAGTGCCAATCCTATTTAACTTTCACTTCCAGACTACATCAGTCAGATGCCATGACCTCCTGAGTAATATAAAACAGACCCCCCCCCTCTTTATGGCTTCTTGCCCTAATTATTGGTCATTGTTGAAATATTTAAAACATCAGAAGGACATTGGTAATCTTACTGATCAAACATTAAAGTTATTCCTTACACATGTAAGATAATCTTATGAGAGTTTGTAATTAAGTTTATTTAACATTTCAAAAATCATACATGAGAAATAGGCTTTACTCATTAGTAGTTGACATTATTCAGATTTCATTTATAAATTTGCATGTCAGTGGGGAATTACTACAGAAATGCAATCTCATTTGTGATCCCTATGTCTTCTTTTCCTTGGCTTGAGCTAAAGATATTAACCTCCTTTTCCATATTAAAAAAGTGGAGCTGTACAGTGCTAAATTGGCTGCCCCATATGTCTGCCTACTTAGAGCAGGGCCACACCAAGCCTATAGATCACCGTGACCCGACAAAAGGGCGAACGACAAAACCGCGCCCGACTAAACCGCGTCGCTGATGTCATCAACGCGGCGACAACAGCCAGCGNGCTGGGAGACTCAGCTTCCTTGCGCGCTGAAGTTAAGGGAGGACAGGCGGAGAACGCCCCACTCCAGCTGTAGCGATCCGATATCCCTTCAAGGGAAATAGCGAGGGAGGAATCGGCTGGCAGAAATCTGCCGCCTTACCTCCAATCCATCAAGAAATCCACAGTGAAAACCAAGTAAAATCATCATTAACCTTGAAAAATTAGCAATTAATCAAGAGAGCGTTGAAAATAAGTCTCGTAGGCTTTGGACTGAGTAATAGAACTGAAAAGGAAACGGAAGTCCAGTCAGAGGAGGCGTGACTTTGAAATTTGCATACTCAGTCTCAAGGCTAGAGGGCTAAGTTAACCCATGATTGGATTCCCGGAGCAGCACACAGGAGAACAGTATTTTGCCTCCAGGGATGGAATGCAATGGTTCATTTCGTGATGCAGAGCCACAAGGCTTTGAAGAGACTTCGCTTTTCACTTTGATTAGAGATGTCATAAGAGACCAGAGATCAGATACAGCCTTACCTGACTTTCAGACATTGGCCTTTCTGTCTCTCTCCATGAGTGGGTGCAGAGTCACAGGTATTGCCTACACTCAACTACACTTGCAATCTTTTAGAAAGAATTTCCAGACTGATAGCTGGGTGTGAAAATAATGAGCATTGTCAAGCAATTAAAGTGGGAACAAAGGGGAGGGCAATTTTGATTTTGGTGCCCAAATTATGGAACAGCTTCTTGGCAGAGGTGTGTTTAGCCTTTGTTGCCCATTTCAGGCATTTTAATATGATTATAGCGGGCATTTTTAATTAAGACAATTTGGGATTTGTTGTTTTATTGCTTCTGCTTTATTTTAATTACTAGTTCTGTTATTGTATTTTATACTTTCCAGTTTTATGTTCCCACATTTTGTTGTTTGCGTTCCCTCTAGAGAAAGACTAGATAGAAATTATAATTACATTTTAAAGGTGTTTTTATTCTTTTATTTTTTTAAAATCTCAGTAGCATCTTTGGATCCAGACGATTCTCAATTAAATTGAGATATTCAAGTAGATTTCAGGGATCTGAGTCATAACAGAATTCTTCTGGAGCAAATCTAATGTGAAGTAATGAATTAGGGCTATTCTAGAATTCAATATTTTTTTTATTTTTCTAATGTGATCAGATCCAATATTATTATCAATATAATTGACCAATACAGTTACAGACCAGAAACAAAACACATGATGAAGCGAAAATATTAAAAAAATTATACATATCTGGTTGCCTCATAAAAAGAAACAATTCTCAAATTATATTATACCTAGTTTCCTTCCAGGGGTCATAATTGAGCAACTAAACCTTTCTGGAAGTTTTAAAGGATTTATTGACTAATGGGAAAAATGTGTTCTATTGACCTGTTGAGCAATTTACAGCTCTCTTCCACAGAGCAGTTGGGCAAAGGAGAGATGATATTAATTCAGAGCACCAAAGATGTACAATAGACAGTTCAACATCAACAGTGATATTGATTCAATGATACCCTCCATGCAGGGACAGATTCAATCCTAGAATAAACCTTTCAATCTGATGAAATGAGCTACAGCTCATGAAAGCTTATGCCTTTCCTATCTGATTTCTTCTGATTATTTTTTTTCTAGTTTACTGTAGACTTAATGGCTCTTTTCATATAGTGTCTCCAATGAATCTCTGTGCGTCAGGCAGTGGGGCAGTGTTACTCAGTCTTTGATATTAGTGTAACTCTTGTTCCAAAGCGAGTTGTCCTGAGGCGAGAGGGTCACATCAAGTTGTCCTGCAGCAAGTTGGCCATGGAAAGTTGGCTATGGTGAGTTAGCTATGATAAGTTGGCCATGATAGGTGGGCCGTGGCAAGTTGGCCCTGGTGAATTATCATAAACCCTGGCTGAAATAGCTTCTTACAGTTTCTGTTAAGAGTTTTGGGACTTTTGTTTATCAGATCTTTCCCAAGGATGTAGGATAGCTAAACATACTATTCCAGTGTTTCTCAACCTTGGCAACTTTTAAGATATGTGGACTTCAACTCCCAGAATTCCCCAGCTACCATGCAGTGGGGCATTAACTCACTATTGCTGAATGGTACATTCTAAGTTTTTGTACCTTTTTTGGGCAGGTGACCTGGAACTAGATGATAGCAATAGCACTTAGACTTATATTCTCAATGCTTTACAGCCCTTTCTAAGCAGTTTACAGAGTCAACATATTGCCCCCAACAATCTGGGTCCTCATTTTACTCACTTCGGAAAGATGGAAGGCTGAGTCAACCTTGCGCTGGTGAGAGTTGAACTGTCAAACTTCTGGCAGCTGGCAGTCAGCAGTAGTAGCCGTAGTACTGCATTCTAATTACTGCACCACTGTGGCTCTTTGCTGTTTGTTCTGGCTTCTCAGCATGCACATATACAAGGATTCACAGATACAGTTTGTGGGATAAATAGAATTGTACACATATTGCCACACAATACTTTGTACCACAGAAAAGAATAGACAATTGTCTTTGGCCACTGTTGAAAAAAGAATTAGAATGAAGGATGTGGATGTGGATGTGGATGACACAAAGCTGGAGGGAATCTCTTAACACTTTGGAAGATAGGCTCAAAATTCAAAAGGATTTTTACATGGAAGGTATTTGGTCGAACCGGTCTGAACCAATAGGAACCCACCTCTGATATGATGTCTTTCATTTATAGTCTTTGGGAACATACCTAATAAAAATATGTGTGGTTTGGATTTGAAGTTTATTTTTGAATTAATTTATTCTCAAGTGTAATTTTTCATTGCAGCGATCCATGAAACCATGGAAAGTTGTGCAGATAAACCCAAATAAAAGATAGTTATTACAAAAATCAAATCAGAATGAAATAAAATAAATGACAGTCAGTATAATCATCTGTAGTTTCATAGTTTCAATCCTCCTAAAGAGATTAATTTTTATTTCTGTTTTAAAATATAAACATTTAAACACATCTAGATTACTCTCTATAGTTTTCTCTCTTACATTTTGGAAATTTTATCTCCTAATAAGATGCCGTTATTGCTGAAAATACTTTTTATGAATAGCATAAAATTACAGTGTTTTGTAAGATTCAGATTGTTGAAGTGAGATTTTTATCCATACTTTCAGTTGAGTTAACAGCTT